GTCGAGATACACATCATCCCCTTCCCTGATGCTGCTTAGGTTGAGGCTGTGACCGAGATCCAGGTGAAGGCGGGGCGTGTCTGTAGGAGGAGGAGGAGGAGACACAGTGAGATGGTGACGGAGGGCGTGGAGAGAGAGAGAGAGAGAGAGAGAGAGAGAGAGAGAGAGAGAGAGAGAGAGAGAGGAGAGAGTAAAGAAATATCAAACAGTAACACTAACATTGTACATATATATTACCCACCATCCCCTGTACAAAAATATGGGATAAACTAAAACGTAAAAAAAAATAAAAAATAAAAAATAAAAAAATATAATAAAAAATGAGAGTGCTGAAAACACGAGTGTCCTATTTGCAGCATCCTAGTTCACAAAAATGGCTGAAAAATCGCCATGACAAGCAAGCAAGACAGACGATAAACAAACGGAGAAAGAGAGAGAGAGAGAGAGAGACTGACTGACTTTTAAACAGATACGCAGACAGACAGACAGACAGACAGATAAACAAAAAGACAGACAGGTACTCACAGAAGACGACCAGCTTGCGGGAGTCGTGAAGAGGAGACGCCGTCATGAGGGGGTTCTGGGCCCTACAGGAGACGACGGCGCCGTTGTTGTTCCTGCTGGGAGCCAGGTAGAGTGTTGACTTGCTTATCTGCCTCTCCCCCACCACCTGCCGGCACACCTGTCTTGATTAGTGACCACCCTCTCCAACACCTGCTTCCCTCCTCCCAACACCTGTCTTATTAGTGACCACCCTCTCCAACACCTGCTTCCCTCCTCCCAACACCTCTCTTATTAGTGACTTCCCTGTAACACCTGTACCCCTCTCCAACACCTGTCAACACACCTGTATCCTCCAGACATCTTTCCAGTCTCCTGAAATGTTAATGACATATTTAAATGATACAAAGCTGGTGCTGACGTTCCTGACACTATACAAAGCTGGTGCTGACGTTGCTGACACCATACAATCCTGTTCTCTGGGCCCTGACACCATACCAAGCAGTTATTGATGATATTGCTGTCGTTTCTTCACATCCAATAACATCTACACAGAATTGACGCAAACTACAAACAGTGGATTGGCCATTCAAAACAAGCGGCCGACCTTAACAGATTGGCCAGTCACAACAGGAGGTCGGCCTTAACAGATAGGGCCAAGCGGAAACAGTAAACAGGGGAAGAGAGTATTATTGAATCCTGTGCTTTTGTAGTGAGTGTTATCACTGTTTATATACGGCCGTTAATGACAACAGAGACTTGTGTGTGTGTGTTGGGTAGTGTAGTAAGTTAGGTGTGTGTGTGTGTGTTGGGTAGTGTAGTAAGTTAGGTGTGTGTGTGTGTGTTTGTTTGTGTTGACATTGTTTTTCAACTGTTGTACGTCAGAGGTAAAAGCGAAAGTGTCTGTCAGGTTATGAGTATTGACACAGGTTATGAACTGCTGTAAGTCATAATTTGGGAGAGAATGTGTTGACAGGTGTGTGTGTGTGTGTGTTGTAAGTCATGGTGGACAGTGAAGGTGTTTGTCAGATATGTGGGTTGATATTGACTATAACTGTTGTGAGTCATGTTTAGGAGGGGAGGTGTTTGGAAGGGTGTGTTGACTTTGTTTTTGAGAGAGAGAGAGAGAGAGAGAGAGAGAGAGAGAGAGAGAGAGAGAGAGAGAGAGAGAGAGAGAGAGAGAGAGAGAGAGAGAGAGAGAGAGAGAGAGAGAGAGAGAGAGCAAAGTAGATTTCGAGTGCCTTGGAAAACGAAAATATAAATGTGTATCAGATTATGTCGTAACCAGCAAATGGTGGTGGTGGGTGTACCTAGGTGTACTGCAGGTGTAGGTGTAGGTGTAGGTGATGGGTGTACCTGGTGGTGGGTGTGAGTCATGAGGACGTCGTCAAGCCACCAGGTGAGAGCAGCAGGGGGTCGGGCGCCGCGAGACTCACACAACAAGGTGTAGCTGCCTCCCTCCCTCAGCGGCCTCGCCTTACCCAGGATGATCACCTCCTGCGGGGGAACTGTAGGAGAGGGAGGAGGAGGAGGAAGATCCATTACTGACGGACGCGCAGCCATCAACAGTACCCAAGACACAGTATATAATTTTAAGCCTTAAGAGAGATGATGTACAATGTACATATTCAATGTCTTAACCTTGTATCTTAATGAGAGGACTGATGGGAAATATTAATTATTCTAAAGGTAAACGCTTTAATTAAGTAGCGTCTCACCTGTTTACCAGACACTCAAGATTCTATAAGATATTACATGTATTTTAAATTGTTTTAAATATGTATATATTTTTTTAAGTTTATTAATAAAGTATTGAAATATATGAAAATAAAAATGCACTTGGCTTACCTGAAGATTAGGCACCCTAGTTCATTTTCACCTGATAAACACCCTAACGTTAACTGGGGGACTAGGTTAGATTAGATTAGGTTTGGTTATGTTAGCTTAGGGTGATTAATTATCAGGTAGATAAACTAGGGTGTCTAATCTTCAGGTTACCCGTAACTTTAAGCAAAGGTAAGACTCACAGGTGAGGTCGAGGGTGACGGTGGCAGCGAGGGGCGGGGTGAGGTTGGAGTTGTTGGCTCGGCAGGTGAGGACGCGGTACAGGTGTTGGCGAGTCAGGTTAGGTAAGGTCAGGATGTTGATGGTAACTTGACCCCTCACTTCCTCCACCATGTCGTCTAGCTTTGACCCATCGTGCCACCAGCTGACCCACGGACGAGGTGATCCTGACCCATACAAGAATCAAAACAGAATTAAGGTCACGATTCTGAAAAAGTTCGGATTCTAAGACATTCTTAGATACAGTTTTCCTATATATTGGAGAAATTAAAACTGGTTAACTTAATATAATACTTTTTTATTTAAGAAGACCCGTGACAGCCATGGCCATCTATAGGGTCATGGCCATCTATAGGGCCATGGCTCAGTCTGTGTCTAGTGTTTGTACAGGAATCATACTTGAATACAATTTTAGATCATTATTTCAAAGTTGTAATATATGATTAAATTTTTACGACATATACAGGTATTGAAAAAGAAATTCTGCTATAATGCCACAAAGGAAAGAATGTTGAGTGCCACAGTGGTAATATTTCTAACAGGTCTCATAGTTCTCTTCTTAGTGTTCAGTGACTACCTCTTTGACAACACATTTGAGGACCAGTTAAGGATTTTTTTCGTCTAAATTTTAGCTTTTTATTTTATTTTTGCCTTTTTGTTTTTCTTTTTTCCTTTGCCCTTTTTTCTTGTTAATTTTTTTTTGCAACAAGAACGTTAAAAAGATCGGACTGCAGTTGACCTTTGTGTTGTAAAGTTCACAGAGGAGGAACCTAGTCTAGACGAGTCACATAAAATATATACAAGTCAAACACAAATGTACTGAGAGCTTATTTACATGACAGAGAACATGCGGTAGCTGACGGTGCTGACGCTAGCTGACGGTGCTGACGCTAGCTGATCGGTGCTGACGACGAGGAAATTCTACCTAAAGAGTATTTCTATATTGAATAACATAGTAAATAAAATGATAACTGAGCCTCGTATACACACACACACACACACACACACACACACACACACACACACACAGACACACACACAAACACACACACACACACACACACACACACACACACACACACACACACACACACACACACACACACACACACACACACATACACACACACACACACACACACACGCGCACACACACACACACACACACACACACACACATCAACACTAGGAAGAGATATATTACTCGTGTCTGTCAGTTTGTCTGTATTAACTTTTATCGACTTGAAACTCAAAGGGGAGACAGAGAGATAGATAGATAGACAGATAGATAGATAGATAGATAGATAGACAGATAGATAGATAGATACAGAAAGATCGATAGATGCAGATAGATTGATAGATAGATCGATAGATAGATAGATAGATAGATAGATAGATAGATATCGGTGTAGTAATCGAGACCACTAACACCGAGACTAAGATCGATACTGAGACCTGGAAAAATGATCCTGAGGCCGGTTTCGAGACCTACACCACTGATACACATACATACATACATACATACATACATAAATACATACATTACATACATACATACATACATAAATACAGACATACATACATTACATGCATACATACATACATACATACATACACATACATTACATGCATACATACATACATACATACAGACATACATACATTACATGCATACATACATACATACATACATACATGCATACATACATACACATACATACATACAAACATACATATTCACTAAATGGCTTCGAATTTGCACCGAGACTGTACCGTAGCGAGTCTTGCCTTAGCCCCAGATCGGAGAAGAGATCGACGTGTGAATCTCGGTGACTCACTAACGTCGTAATTATGTAACATTTATGAGAAGTATTTCACCTTTATGTTTTGGAGAGAGAGAGAGAGAGAGAGAGAGAGAGAGAGAGAGAGAGAGAGAGGTGACCTGTAATACGTACCTCCTGTCACCTGACAGTTAAGGGTCAGTGTTCCTCCCAGAGGATATGGTCCGATGACCCCGCTGACCTCTTGACCGGACCTGGACAGGATGCTTACACGTAGTGGAGGAACTGTGGACAACACACCTGAAAGTTAATCATCCACCCACACCTGTAGGTTAACCATCCATCCACACCTGAAGGTTAATCATCCACCCACACCTGTAGGTTAATCATCCATCCACACCTGTAGGTTAATCATCCACCCACACCTGTAAATTAATCATCCACCCACACCTATAGGTTAATCATCCAACCACACCTGTAGATTAATCATCCACCCACACCTGTAAGTTAATCATCCATCCACACCTGTAGCTTAATCATCCACCTACACCTGTAGGTTAATCATTGACCCACACCTGTAGGTTAATCATCCACCCACACCTGTAAATTAATCATCCACCCACACCTGCAGATCAATCATCCACCCACACCTGCAAGTTAATCATCCACCCACACCTGCAGGTTAATCATCCACCCACACCTGCAGGTTAATCATCCACCCACACCTGCAGGCTAATCATCCACCTACACCTGTAGGTTAATCATCCACCCACACCTGCAGGTTAATCATCCACCCACACCTGCAGGTTAATCATCCACCCACACCTGCAGGTTTATCATCCACCCACACCTGCAGGTTAATCATCCACCCACACCTGCAGGTCAATCATCCATAATTACTCAAATATGCAAGTGTAAGAAAAATATTATTACACCCGTGTACCGTGATGACTCAGGTACACGTGTCCACACCTGTCCTATAATGTGTAGGTGAATATCTAAATACACCTGTGTACTATAATTACACTGTACGCACGAGTAGGTTGATTATTTGGGGAACACAAATGCTTTAATTAATTAGCTGTGAGAGAGATTTCACCCTGGGAACACCTGTGCAATATAGTTAGCCATGTACACCTGAGTGGAATTACCTGGGGCGACATTTATGTGATATAATGACGTTCACATCTGTTGGCTCTTTTGGCTAATCTACTCTTACACTTGACTAACTTTGTCTGCACTCGGAGTATATAAAGGTCATAAAGTACTATATAAAGTGTCTGAACAATTAATGCATTTGTTCGTAGCTTACAACACGACCAGGATATAGAGCAGTAAGTTCAATACATCAGGACAACACCGTCAACTTTGTGTTATGTTACATTAAGTTCCTTTTACCCTATAGTTCAGTGTTCATTCCTCTCTGTCTTTCTCTCTTTGAAACATAAGGAACACATTTCTCTGTATCATGATAATTATATGGTAAAGCCAAGGGTAAACTTAATAATTAAGTCTACGGTGTTATCATGCCTTGTTTAACTATAATTATAACGCAGGTGTGTGTGTGTGTGTGTGTGTGTGTGTGTGTGTGTGTGTGTGTGTGTGTGTGTGTGTGTGTGTTAATGTATTCTCACTCACCGACCACCAGCAGGTAGAGGCGGTAATTCCTGGTGGGGGAGGACATGAAGTCGACCCTGCAGCGGTAGTGGCCTTGGTCCTCAGTACCCAGGTTGTCGATCACCAACCCCGAAGGCCTGGACACCAGGTCGAAGTGCGCTCGACTGCCCATCTCAGACCAGTGAATCGACCGGACTAGCGGACCAGTGCGGGAGTCGATACTGATGACCAAAACGTTCCATTAAGGTATTTCTCTGCCGTGGAATATATTGTGTTTAGTGGGGAAAAGGTTGAGAAATACAGCCAGAATTGTCAATATGTTTTAATCCGTTTACGATTATTGCATTACAATTTGTTCTTAACGAGGAGTGCTATTGGGAATAACTTAACAGGTGAAAAATTACACGATTAAAACAGAAAAAAATGAAGGATTATAGTTTGTGCAGATACTAGTGTGGCATTAGTTGGACTACACACACACACACACACACACACACACACACACACACACACACACACACACACACACACAGTAAGCGGCAGCAGTGTACCATGACCCGGTTATATCACATTACCACCACTAGTTGTTATGTGAGCTGACACTGGGAGCAATAATAACGTTACAGTCCCTGGAAGATATACCGGCCTGGCCTCTACTGAAGGTGTTGGCTGTAGTCTTAACCTTACTGTAACCTTCTTACTGTATATATTATTGTATTAAAGGAGAACTGATCATCAGATATATTAAAGTTGTGTACAGAACTAATGACTCTGGATTCAACCATTAATCTTTGTGATGTGATGCTTACACTTGGAGACGATCATGCGGTGGCTGAGGACAACAACGTGATGAAGCTCTGACGTGTACGCCTTCCCTCCCTCACTTAATCCGTCTTTGGCTCATTAAGGCGTTTGGTTTACTCTTAGGTCAATGTTTTCATGGCAACAAGTTTATCTTTTCACGGGAGAGAAGAGAAAAACATTGAACAAGACCCTCACAATGTTTAGGACTCGCCGTTTTATGCTATTCTCACCGACAGATGGGCAGAGACATTGAACCATCCAGTATAGCATAAATCATGGGCACTATTTTTTATTTTAGAAGTATCGTGATCCAGGCATACTAAGCGACTGCTGTAGAGAATGTCAGGTGTTACGAGCAGTACAACGCTCGCCCTGTGCTCTTATAACGTAAAATTCATTATAAACAACAAACACGTTATCAGTGGCCATTAACTGTACTAGATGAATATATTTATTTATATAGATACGGGTAGATGTATATAGTTAGAGCAGGAGGGGGGGGGGGAGAAATAATGTGTCCGGCGAGCATATTTGAATACTGTCTTTTTTAGGGAACCTGAGAGCAATTTTTTTATATTGATTCGATCTTTCTCTCTTTTTTTTCTCCAATATGTCTCTTTACTCAATACATGCACGAAGTCTCAGCTCGTCCAGAGAGTTAAATAACCGTGAACATGATATAAACTTCATTACAAATCCATATGCTGTTGGCCCTGGCAGAATGAATGACCGGGGGCACTGCAGATGGAAGAGTAATTGAGCTTCAGTCCAGTGTCGACCCTCACATCCTTCACGTCAATGCACAAGGTTATAATCCTGCACCAACACTCAGAAACTGGGGGGCCTGAGTTTCCTGAGTTACAGTTTCACAGGGACAAGAAACATTCGGGTGATGATGGTGCTGGTCTGATAGGCTTGTATAAGAGTCTCCCTAAAGAAGAACGCGTATACTCTGTATTTTGGGCTTAACAGTTGTTTACCAGTGAGCATGTCCCATGATGATGCTTATCAACAATCGTCTGGGTTAGAGAGAGTTGTAAGATAGTTAGAAAGAGTTGTAAGTAAGATAGAGAGAGTTGTAAATAAGATAGAAAGAGTTGTAAGATAGAGAGAGTTGTAAGATAGAGAGCTGTAAGTAAGATAGTTGTAAATAAAATAGAGTTGTAAGTAAGATAGAGTTGTAAGATAGAGATAGTTGTTAGTAAAATAGAGTTGTAAGTAAGATAGAGGTGTAAGATAGAGATAGTTGTAAGTAAGATAGTTAGTGGAAATTAATTATACCATCAAAACAAAACGAATATTCCTATGCGCTAAGCTGCTGAAAGTATTTACATATAATTCAGTGAGTCCTCGGTGAGTGTGACAGGTGCTCGGGTATCAACACACACACACACACACACACACACACACACACACACACACACACACACACACACTTCTTCCCCGAGAAGTCCGTCAGATCTCACCCAGCTGACTTGCCCTGGATCACACCTCGGATCAAAAGACTTATGCAACAGAGAGACAGAGCCTTTCATCTCAATGACCACATCCGCTACAGGTCCCTTCGCAACCGAGTCATCCGCGAAATACGCACTGCAAAGAAGTCCCACTACCCAACCAAATTACAACACCTGAAGCAGACCAACATCAGTCAATGGTATGGTAAGCTTAAAGAACTCTGTGGACTAAACAATAAGACACACCCCCTCCCCTTCCTTAGCCATCTCACTAATGTTGACGCAGCTGAGCAATCAAATAACCATTTCGCTACTATATGCCAGACGCTCCCCCGGCTTGACACAACCACTCTCCCTGCTTACCTACCAGCCCCCCTTCCCACTGACTTAGTAGAAGAATTTGAAGTAGCAAAACGTCTGGACAAACTAAAATTAAAACGCTCTACCACCCCCATTGACTTACCAAGGAAACTCTTCAAGGAGTTCTCCCCGGAGCTTGCCAAGCCCCTATGCTCCATCATCAATGCTTCTCTCAGTCAAGCCAGATGCCCAGCTGACTGGAAGACCTCTTATGTATCACCAGTGCCCAAGTCAACCAGCCCACAATCCTTAAATCAGCTACGACCTATTGCAATCACCCCAATACCCAGCCTAATCTGTGAAAGTTTTGTGTTCGACTGGGCTTATGCTGATATTGCAGGAGTCGTAGACTTTCAGCAATTTGGCAATATGAAAACTTCCTCCACCACTCACTGTCTTGTCAGCTTTCTCGATTACATATACCGCCATCTCGAGAAACGAAAAACGTCTGTAGCTGTCGCCTTCATTGGTTTCACTAAAGCATTCGACCTAGTCGACCACAATATAATCATCAACAAAGCTATTGACCTCGGGCTTCGGAGAAGTCTTATACCATGGCTTACAGACTTCCTCAGTGACCGACGCCAAGCTGTACGCTTCCGAGGGGCTGTCTCCACCTTTCAGTCACTCACCTGTGGCGTCCCCCAAGGCACCAAGATGGGACCACTCTGCTTCCTTATGCTTATCAATGATGCCCTAAGAGAAACCCCCGCTCGCTGGAAATATGTCGACGACTCCACCATTGGGATCAGCGTCAACAATTCTGCTCCCGACTATACCGCCCTTCAGGATTTATTGAACAGTCTCCAAAACTGGGCCACCAAAAACCACGTCACCATCAACCATACCAAGACCATGGTTATGCACATCAACCTCTCCTCCAACATTGTCCCACCCCTTCCATTAATTTAGTTCCGAACACACTCCAGGTTGTAGATTCCACGAAGCTCCTCGGCGTCACCATAGACAACAAACTAAATTGGAAACATGTCAGTAAGAATACCCCGTCTCGAGTTTCGCACCGAAGCTCTCAGTACTCAACATTCTACTTCCCAAGCTCATGCCTGGTGCCTTCCCAAATGACACGCAAACACCTGGGCATGCAAGTTTTCCTTCATACGGAAGTTAACATCTTCGACATTCTAATACCTTTCGAACCTGCCAAATGTCATTCTAAAATGCCAGCCATAACGAACTGACGCTTAGAACAGCCGCCCACATTGTAAAATATCAATCCTAACCGTGATTCAGTAAATACTACCTGCACTGCTGTGAATGCCCTGTGTTTGAGCTTCATCTGTTTATATATTTTATTCACTTATTTTATTTGTATATTTGTAGAAACTTCAATTATGTCTGTATTTCAGCCTTCTGGTTGAGCCTTTCAATAAACCGTTAATTATTATTATTATTACACACACACACACACACACACACACACCCAACCGTGAAAGTCTGTCAGGAGGAGTGATAAGACATATTGTAATGGTTCTTAGGGCGCGATCTCTCTCTCTCGTGTGTGTGTGTGTGTGTATAATAATAATAATAATAATAATAATAATAATAATAATAATAATAATAATACAATTAATTAGTTTATTGAAAGAGCTTGGCAGCCAGAAGGCTGAAAATATACAGTTACATAATTGGGGAATGGGTTTCGAATTACAAATAATATACAAATAAAATAAGTGATATAAATAAGATATATAATAACTAGATGAGGAAAAGCTCAAACTACAGGGCATTTCAACATAGTGACAGTACAAGAAGTAGTGTTTACTGGGAGTGAATACACTGGTTTATTACAAGGTATTGATAATTTTTACAATGGTTGGGACTGGGCTGTTCTTATAGCGATCAGTTCGTGCACGTATGGGCTGGATGCGGTTGTGGTGTCGAACAGCAATTCTCGGGCTAGGGATCTCAGGTGGTAGTAGGAGCAGGTGTCGAGGATGGTGTAGAAGCTTCTTACCAAATTTGCAGATGAGGTCGTGGTGATGGTCAGTGAGAGTCGAAAGGGTCAGTGTGTTGAGCGCTTCTTGATATGTGGAGTAGGAAGGGGAGAGAATAATCTTGCATGCCCTCTTTTGCACTTTTTCTAGGTGTTTGCGTTGAGTGTCATTTAGGGAGGAAGACCAGGTAGGGGAAGCATAGGTGAGCTTGGGAAGTATGAATGTTGTGTAAACACTGAGGAGCTCGGGTGCAGGAACTCCAAGGGACTTGAATTCGGCGGAGGAGGTGGAGACGGAAACTGGAGGATTTGACAACTTCACTGTGTGTGTGTGTGTGTGTGTGTAGCTTCAAACTCTATGCCTTACATCTCACTCTGGTAAATTGTGTGTGTCACTCGGTAAATACAATATCTCCTGGCAGTTCTTTTTAAGCTTTTGAAATCACGTTGGGATGATGTTTCGATGTTGAGTAAGCTGAGTAAAAGCTGAAGAGTTCTGGATTTAAAGATAGTATGTATGTACGTATGAGTGTAGTTCTCTACATTACACAATATCTGACATTTAAATCACACTTTATGTATTATTTTTTACTCGAACATAATTCCACATATAAACATTACAGACTTTGACCAACCTGTTATTGGCAGCACCACAACACCTGCACACACCTGTTACTAATGTTACTACCTGTCAGAATAGTATATGTGTAAGATAAACACTACACACACACCTGTTAACACTAAACATGTCCCCACACACCTGTAGAAAAATAACTGCACACCTGGTACCACACACCTGTAGAAAAATAACTAAACAATTGCTACCACTCACCTGTAAATAGGCAGACCTGTAGCGCCACTGTAGAAGAGCACCAGGATGGGCGAGTCTTCAGGTGTGGGGGGAGTGACGTCACAGGGAAGGAGGGTGCGACTGCCTAATATGGCGGACACCTTGTTAATTGGACCTGCAGAGGGAGAGAGAGAAGGGGGAGAGCACATTAAGACGATGATGGTGATGATGATGATGATGATGGTGATGATGATGATGATGACGATGATGATGAACAACAGCGGGAAGAAGAAATACTTTAGATGATACCACTACTAATAATAATAATGGCAGGGTATACGTCGAAACTAGTGAAGCTCTTACTGTAAATTAGTTTAGTCACCGCTGGAAACTGCCCCATGTCACCGTTTTCTTTAAGCCCCAATATACCTCATCTGTTACCATTGCACGGACTGTTATCATGGCAATACTTATTAAATTTTAACGCGATTTTCACCCAAAGTTTACCATGTGGACCTTCTCAACTATCAATCAAATCTACCAAGTTTAGTGTAAATCCACAATTCTGCTCCCGGATTAATTTGGGGAACAGACAGACAGACAGACAAACAGACACGACCGAACACAATATACTGTGCCAGGTCGTTCGTGCAGGGTAATAATAATCATAGTGGCTGTATCCCCCTCGGAAGCAAATGGTCCGCACTGGAAAAAATATTACAGGAAACCAAAGGGACGGACACACACACACATACACACAGCTAGGCGTCCTGAGTCACTGACCTTTGACCTTCATAGCTGACCAGGGTGATGCTCCTGTCCTATTTGAGTAACCTTATTATAAACAGCCAATAGGAACATCTTACACGAACATTCAGGCACACAGACAAACAGAGTAAGGTGATTGCTTCATCCCTGCAGCAGGTGAGAGGTGATGATAATAACACTGGTAGTCTCGTTTAATGCCTCACTGACCTTTCAAACTCGGCCGGATGTCATAATTTGCTGGTTTTTTATTGAAATTCTAAAGAGATGCGGATTTATGAGTGAGGAACGAGTGCTCAGCTTCCCGAGCCGGATTAGCGCTTGTGCAAATTTTGTTTATGTTTCGGTGATATATCCCTCAACACAATGGTGAGGTGAGGTGTGTTGTGGTGACCCTGTACTGTACTGTGTGTTGTGACGACCCTGTACTGTACTGTGTGTTGTGGTCGGTGAGGTGTGTTGTGACGACCCTGTACTGTACTGTGTGTTGTGGTCGGTGAGGTGTGTTGTGACGACCCTGTACTGTACTGTGTGTTGTGGTCGGTGAGGTGTGTTGTGACGACCCTGTACTGGTACTGTGTGTTGTGACGACCCCTGTACTGTACTGTGTTGTGTCGGTGAGGTGTGTTGTGACGACCCTGTACTGTACTTGTACAGACGACCCTGGTGGGGTTGTGTACTGTCGTTTGTGACGACCCTGTACTGTGTACTGTGTGTTGTGGCTGGGTGAGGTAAAGCAGACGACCCTGGTACTGTACTGTGTGTTGTGGTCGGTGAGTGGACGACCCTGTACTGTGTGTTGTGTGCATTGTACGGTGAGGTGTAAATGCAACGACCCTGTACTGATTGTGTGTACTGTACTGTGTGTTGTGGTCGGTGAGGGTGTGTTGTGACGACCCTGTACTGTACTGTGTTGTGACGACCCTGTACTGTACTGTGTGTTGTGGTTTGAGGTGTGTTGTGACGACCCTGTACTGTACTGTGTGTTGTGGTGTGAGGTGGTAGTTGCGACGTAAATTGTTCAGGTTGTGACGACCCTGTACTGTACTGTGTGTTGTGGTCGGTGATTCCTGTACTGTACTGTGTGTTGTGGTCGGTGAGGGTGTACAGACGAATCGTACTGACTGTGTGTTGTGACGACTCTGTACTGTACTGTGTTGTGGTCGGTGAGGTGTGCTGTACGACCTGTACTGTACTCAGGGTTGTGACGACCCCTGTACTGTACTGTGTGTTGTGACGACCCCTGTACTGTACTGTGTTAGACGACCCTGTACTGTACTGTACAGACGACTTGTAGTACTGTGTGTTGGACGACCCTGTACTGTACTGTACTGTACTGTGTGTTGTGGTTTGTGAGGTGTGCTTGTCGACCCTGTACAGAGGTGTGACGACCTGTAGTACTGGTGTGTTGTTGACCTAAGTACTGGGTACTGTACTGTGTGTTGTGACGACCTGTACTGTACTGTGTGTGTGTTGTGGTCGGTGATTGTGTGTGTTGTGACGACCCTACAGACGACCCCTGTACTGTACTGTGTGTTGTGACGGTACTCCTGTAATGTACTGTGTGTGTGACGACCTGTACTGTGAAAATTGTGTGTTGTGACGACCCTGTACTGTACTGTGTGTTGTGACCCCTGTACTGTACTGTGTGTTGTGACGACCTCTGTACTGTCACTGTGTGTGTTGTGACGACCCTGTACTGTACTGTGTGTTGTGACGACCCTGTACTGTTGTGTGTTGTGACGACGACCCTGTACTGGACTGTGTGTTGTGGTCGGTGAGACGACCCTGTACTGTATCAGGTGTGACGACCCTGTACTGTACTGTGTGTTGTGGTCGGTGAGGTGTGCCAGACGACCCCTGTACTGTACTGTGTGTTGTGGTCGGTGTGTGTTGTGACGACCCCTACTGTAACAGGTTGTGACGACCCTGTACTGTCCTGTGTGTTGTGGTCGGTGAGGTGTTGTGACGACCTGTACTGTACTGTGCTGTGGTGTACTGGTGAGGTGTGAGGTTGGTGACGACCCTGTACTGTACTGTGTGTTGTGGTCGCAGAGGTGTGTTGAGTACTGTCCCAGGTTGTGACGACCCTGTATCAGTGTGTTGTGACGACCCTGTACTGTACTGTGTGTTGTGGTCGGTGAGGTGTGTTGTGGATTGACCCTGTACTGTACTGTGTGTTGTGACGACCTGTACTGTACTGTACTGTGTGTTGTAGACGACTGTACTTGTACTGTGTTGTGACGACCTTGTACTGTACTGTGTGTTGTGACGACCCTGTACTGTACTGTGTTGTGGTTTGTGAGGGTGTGCTAGACGACCCCTGTACTGTACTGTGTGTTGTGGTGTGGTGTGATGTGTTGTGGCCGGTGTAGTGTGTTGCGACCGGTGTAGTGTGTAGCGGCCGGTGTAGTGTGTTGCGGCCGGTGTAGTGTGTTGCGGCCGGTGTAGTGTGTCTGAGATATATTGTGGGTTTCTTTAAGTGATTGGTTGATGGAGTTGAATGTTGATGTGACAATAATTCTAAGGTGTTGTGGATATGTCAGTTTATACACACACACACACACACACACACACACACACACACACACACACACACACACACACACACACACACACACACACTCTCTCTCTCTCTCTCTCTCTCTCAGAAGACGATAGTTCAACCCTTTGGAAAATGATGGTTTAATCCTTTGACAACGATGACTTAACGTTTGAAGACGATGATTTAAAACATCGTGCTAGAGGGATTAAATCATCGTACTCAAGGACTAAATCATCGTACTCAAGAAGTTCACCGCAGACAGACTCCCAGCCTCCTTCACCATCATCACCCAGAGTCGTCGACGTCTGTCCTCACGCCCCCGTCACCTTAATGGCCCCACTCTTGTGATGAAACGCATGACTATCACCCCCTGACAATTCCCTGAACTGAGAGCCACTACTGACTACCCCCGGGATGGCCAGTCATCCACACAACCCGCCGCGCCGCTACACCTACCACCACCCTCTCCTCCTCCTCTTCAACTTTAATAACCTGGCACCTGGAGGCAGTAGGACTCTCTTACCTTCTCTTGATTATGTCGTCGCTCTCATTTACATATAACCTGGAGCTCATCTCATGCATGGTAAACACAGGACTAAAATGCGTAGATTAATATTCCTTCTCTCTTCTACATATGAGAGAGACATCGTCCTCCTCCTCCTCGTTGTCGCCTCCACCAGTCTGGATTGTTTTTATAGTGGCTGCAGGTGTTCGTATGTACAGATAGGCACACGGTATAAAATTCACACATTAATTTTGCTTTTCGGATCATATGAATATTAACCATTCGATATTAATTCACATGCTGATTAAACACCCTAACGCTAACCTAACCTAACGACCAAACTTAATCTAACCTAACACTAACCCACCCAACTTTTAACCTAAGCTAAGCTAACCAAACTTAATCTTTAACCTAACATAAATTAACCTAACCTAACTTAACCTAACCTAACCAAACCCCCCCTCGGTAGGTAATGTTCAGGTGTTTCATCAACAAGTGAAATAAGCAGTAAAGGTTAATCTCCAGGTAATCCCTCTCTCTCCCTTCCTCTTCTCTCCTACAGGTACGTGAAGTGTGAGGTGTCGAAATCCACCGTGTATGTGACGCTCTTCCCCCTTCCTGACTCACAACAAAGAAAATACCATAATTGAAACCGAGAACAAAATATGCTTTCTCCCTTTTCCTTTCTTTCCCATTCACTCCTTTCACTGGGTGGTCGGCCATCAAGATCAAACACCAACTTTCCCTCCATTCACTGTCATTCATTCTTACTGTAAACAATTATTCTTGCCGCTGTAACAGATGTGTTTCTCTTACGGTGTCTCCCCTTCCTCAACAAGAGACGAAATGTTTCACCCACCCTTGTCCTCCGCTTTCACCCTTCACTACTTTCTATATTAAACTACCGAAAGTAAAGATCAAATGTGTACCAAATCTTATTACTTTCTAAAAAAAAAAAACATAGGTGAAAGTAAAGGTATAGTACAATAGATACTTACCATTCCTACTTTCCAAAGACGTAATCTAACCGAAATTAGCAATAGAATGGACACTTACCCATTATAACTTTCTAAAGAAGCCGAGCATGAGAGAAAGCAACAAAGGGGAGAAAGAGAGAAAGCGATTCTTGCTTTCATTTCGTTTCATCTATAAATCAACCGTAATGACAATAAATCATTAAATATCTTTTGTTATATGACTTTCTATCCACACCTTTCACTAACAGGGATACCAACGGGAGCTTTCTACCCACACCTTTCACTAACAGGGATACCAACTGGAGCTTTCTATCCACACCTTTAACTAACAGGAGAGCAACGGGAGCTTTCTACCCACACCTTTCACTAACAGGGATACCAAC